GGGGGGGCGAGGTGGCAGAGTACGCGGATTCAGTAGACTCAAGCTCAAGCAGAGCTTGCCAGAGTGACAGCGAGAGCGCTCAGATATAATCAAAGAGTGTCCTAAGTGTGCTAGCAGTGCCAGCAGTAGTAGATAAGGTAGTACAGTAGTACACACAGGCTTAGCTGCTTAGCTTAAAATATATGCATATGGCATATGAGGATGAAACCGAAGCTGAAACCCAACAGTCGTTGCCGGCGTCTGCCACGGACACACGACTTCATATCATGTCCACTCATGCTCAACATGTTCACACTGCATCATTACATCAGATCTAATCAGATCTCCAATAGACCAACAGACGTTCTCTTCATGACCACATATGAGATATGAGTTATGTTAGGTGCTAGTGAAACATATGTAATAATGCAATATATATAAACACTTGGACAATACCAGACCCACTTTTTTGGTTTAGGTACAACATAATTACGACCCGAAATATATGAGTGATTTGAATGTGCACTGTTTACTGTACGGAGGCACAGATATGACATGACATATCATGACCGACATGCAGCAACAACTGCGACATGCTGACATACACTTGCTCACACATCCAAATAGGATGCCAAAATATGTCAAGCTTGAATCACGATAATCATGATAATATGATATTTGTACATCATGCTTATACATCAAGTCATGCCGAAAAACACCCAGCACGTCGCAGAGGTGCATGTACTGCACCTTGGGAAGTCTGCTCTGAGAGTGCACCACTTTCCCGATGACGGGGAAACGTGCATCCGGCGATATTGGCAGGGGGACCTTCAACGCAGTCTGCTTGCCGTGGGACTGCAGGCTGATCTCTATGTTCGATTCGTACTCGGCGAAGTGTGTCACGTAAATGTCCTCCACCAGGACATTGAGCAGGAGCTCCACATGTTTGTACACGCGGGGCTGGATGCCGTCGTGCGGCATCCCGAGCAACTTCAATTCATTCTGCACCGCAGCACTCTCCAAGACGCTGACAATGTTCTTGCCCAGGTAAGTGTTGACGTCAACCAATGCTCTTGTAATGCCCTTTTCCTTGGCACCGACGTTGTCTCCGGCGCTCTTGCCTCCATCACCTCACAAAGCATTAAGTGAATATGCACATGTTATTAGCAGTACTCACAGTACTCACATGCACATACTGCACACTGCACACTGCACGTGTCAATTAAGCCAGCCCACCGTCTGTCTGGACATCCTCTTCCTTTTCCTGCTTTTGTTCGGGCGGCGGCGGTGGCTGTTCGTTCGGGGCCGAGTCTTGCTTGTCCTTGGTGCCGCTCAGCCGGTCTTTCGACCCTTTCAGGTCGCAAGGAACCGTCACGGCACAATGCTCCTGCACTTTGGCGAGGAGCGTTGTGACGGATTCCGCGCCTCGAAGCACCTCTGACCAGTGGACTGCCCAATCCACTGGCGAGAGCAGGACGTCAAAACGCAATCAAACTGGTCACATCGGATGTCTTCAGGTCGACACCGCTGCAGCTGGACTTCGCAACTTCCGACCCCATGGTTCGAAAGAAGGTCGAGGGAACTGATCACAAGCTCAGGCACACATTCCAATGCATTCTGCAACGAGGCCACCATGTAAGCAAATCTTAAGCTCACAAGTCTCTCGAGTGTGACGGTGTCCGGAAACACCTGCGGTTACGGGTTCGGCTTGCAGGGGCGGACAGAGGTCATGCCAGTCATGCCATGCCAACATGCAACCTGCCACTCTCAACCTTCAACTGACGTTCAACGCATGACTCGTGACGCATGTTTATTCTACTCTATAACTCTATGCTAACTGATCCGGTCGTCTCTAACTGCAGCATTGTGTCAACATGAATAACATGAATCAATGAATCAACATGCAACATGCAGCCACAAAACATGCTGAGTTGCGGCGACTAGCAGAGACGAAAGACGGCAAGAAACCAGAAACCAGTTATCAATTTATCAATGTCGTAAATGTGCACAATGCACACGTATGTGTACATGTATAAAATTTGGTGTATGGTGTATACATATATAAGATATATAAGTATACATATATGTACACTCTTTGTATGTGTACACACATGAATGCATGCATGTACATCTGCCTGTGTCTAGTCAGTGTCTAGTGTGTACGTGTGTCCACATACACGCACCAGAATCGCAAGCAGCAGCATCAAGGAATCAAGGTGTGATAAACTTGATAAGTGTCATGACAGCAAGGTACAAGTTCAGTGTACAGTGTACAGGTGTCACATATCATATGCACTGCACAATATTATAAGTTGAGATCGTGCCACACCGAGGGTGCCGATGGCCAGTGGCCCATGGCACATGGGTATGACGGTATGACAGATGCAACGAAAGGGCCTCCTGTGTCCCTTCCACGAAGTTATTGCGGATGTTGCACAGTTCAATGACATCTGCTGCGAATGTCGTCCACGCTGCAGGAACACACTTCTCAATGCCGGCTTGGATGATCTTCATGAGGTCCACGAGCTCAAACCGCTTTACGGGGGAATCCATCAACCTTGCTGTCATATGGCAAACAACTGAATGTTTGACTGCCACTGTCACTGCCAGTACACGAATCTACACGAAGCACAAATAGTACAACTTAGTACAACGAATTCGGACTCGTGGATGACGTTCGAATATTGGAATATGTTTTTGCACAAGTCCAGTCAGGCCGTGAGACGTCCATGGGAGCAGTGTCTGACACAATGACAGCGGCCAGATTTACACTGACATGAGCATGATTGCACGAAAACTACAAGGGTGTGTCAGTGTAGATACATGCAGGCACAGAGACACAGGTACTCACAAGAATGACCGACCTGTGGAGCATTTAACAGGTATGTAGTCGTATATCGTGTGTGTGTGTGTCATGTGTGTGTATGTGTGTGTATATATATAATATATGTGTATAGAGTGTATACGTGAATACGTGTATGATATGTGTATATGCAGATGCTTGCATCAATGTATTCTGCGTGTACGTATGCATTGCACACGGCGCTACCCCGGCTACCCGTACCTGTACCCTAGCTAGCTTGCCCTGCCCTGCCCTGCCCTGCC